TTTTGCACTTTTTTTTAACTGAGTTGAGGTGAGCTTCTTTGGTTTTAGTTATCAGAGGAAGGTCAACCTTCGCTTTGTAACATTAACACATTCTGATTTTTACAGTATTCGAGGCTTCATTAATAGGGACATACCACCTGTTGTCTGGTATTATGCTGAACTTGTATAGCACAAAATGGTTAGACCTCAGTTAGAGTAGTCTGTGCAATTGTGGCACCATACAATTGGAAAGATGTGAATGTGCTGGAGAGGATGCAGAAGTTGTTCGTGAGAATGGTTCCAGAGACGAGCTACTTCGGTTATAAGCTTCGATTGAAGAAGCTGGGCTGTTTTCTTTGGAGAATGAAACAAGTTTTTGGTTATGAATCTAGAGAATAAATGGGGAGAAACTATTTTCCCTTTTAAAAGGATCGAGAGCCAGAGGGCACAGCTTTAAAATGTTTCAAATGTGAGGTGAGAGAGAACGTTTTGACACTGCAATTAGTTAGGGTATGGACTTGTTCAACGGAAGCATTTAAGAGGCCTTCAGATGATTAACGTTGCTTCCATTCAAAACTAAAGTTTGCAGGGAAAAGGCAGGACATTATCACTTAATTTAAAATGCAAAGAGAGCTGGTGCAGGTACGATGGGCTGTATGGCCCTCTGAGCGACTTGCTTTTCTCTGCACAAGACATTGGGAAGTTTATCGACCAGTAGGAGATTTCATTTTGTTGCCTGAATGAAAGCCATCATTTTTCTGTAGAGCCAGATTATGATGTACAATTGAGCTCTGAATTATATCCAAAATCTGCTTTTAGATTGTTTTGGAGTGAAACAAGCATTTGTTGGCACAGGTCAGACAATGTGGATGGTTTTCTCTGCAAAGAAAAATAACACCTATAGTGAATTTCATGCCACTGTTTGCTCTGGATATGCGGAGTAGAAGTCTAACAGAGTCTTAATATTTGTGCATCATTTGTTTAGCTGTTGACTGTTAAAAATTTACCAAAAGAAAATATTCTTTAGGAGAATCTGATAATTAACAGGTTTATTCTTTGCTGATCTCTACCACCGTCATAACAGTCATTGTGCTCCATTTAATCTAATAAACCAGGTAATTCTGAAAGCATGAAGTCATAAAGCTCATGGTTTAAAACTACAGATATTCTATATACTTAAAAGAACATGAATGGGAATAATCGCACACTATCTCAAGTAGGGAGTTGTTAACTATATTAAAATTGCAGTAAAATGGAGGCTGAAACTTTAAACCAAAATTTCAATTCCATGTTCCTTCGACATTTCGATTAACACCCCAATAAATTCAACTCTGATACTGATCAACAATTGGACAATTAACCACTTGGCCAATTAACCACTTGGCCTGAGTACCATTTTAAAGATTTACAGGGCTGATGGGGGGTAGATGCTGACTTAGCATGCTGAGGCCGAATTAATAACGTTCACCAGGCCGTTCACACCATTATGGCAAGGTTTCCACTTCAAATCCCCACCAAACAATCCTCAGTTGTGTTATCCGTAGGCATCATTAACATAGTGGGCCAGAGCCACTTTGCTATCTTCCTTAAATCTGAGAGTTTTTTTTACTTTTTAAAATTTGCACTTGTCTTTCTATCCCCCTCCACGTCTCTGTCTGTCTCTGTCTGTCCTACCCCCCACCCCCTCTGCCAGTATTGAAGTGAACTGAAGGGCTGTTAAAAGTAACAGAAGTTTAAATTCTTTTAGCAGTTGCACAGAATTTCAAACAAGGTTTTAAGAGATTTTGGCTGCTCTGGCCAGATTATTCTGCATTCACACCTAGGGACCAATAAGTTGACTTATTTTTGATTTTTCTATTGTTTATCTTGAAGGCAGCTTGATCAACTGCTTTTACAAGAAATCTCTCCCAGACACCTTGGTCCCTTTTTAACAAACATCACTTCCAGAGGGAATACAGTTCTTTTTCTGAAGTACCTGGGCCTTCACACAGGAGAGGACAGGATATCCAAGTTGTACGTTCCCATCATTCGCATCCTATATCAGCCGTCTAACTCCACTAACCTTTCTTGCACACAAATTGTTTGATTTTGGACTATTTACATTGTGGGGCCACATTGATCCAAAATCACATTCTGTATAATTTTGTTTTGTTCCATTTTCCATTCTCTCGTGAAGTTGGTAACAATTGCTGGAGTTGGAAACAAAAGTGTAAGTTCCCAGAAAAGCTCAGCAGGTCTGGCAGCATCTCAAGAGAAATCAGTTAATGTTTTGGGTCTAGTGACCCTTTCTCGGGATTGGGGTTCTTCTGATAATAGATTTGTGACAACTTATGTAACTTGCCATGGGGCATTTGTCTAACCTTTTGCATTGCTGAGTGATTGCTTGTGATATTGGCGAGTAAATGTGAATTGCTTTACCTTCATAGTTGAAGATTATGCCTTCAAGTTTCAGCTTGTAGTGTATTCACCAGGTTAGCAAAAGAGAATTTGAAAAAATGTATATTGCCAAACCATGCAAAAAGCAAAGCAAGTTTGTATTTGCAAGATTAGCAGCTTAAATCCAACTTCAGAATTTACTCCGCTACTGCCCACACAAGCGACAGTATCCCATCTCCCAAGTCATCAGCCCAAATGAATTTCTACTTGATGTTTCCTCCGTCACTGCACATTTTAATCAATATCTGAATGCAGCTTGTCCTGTGTCCTCTAGATTCAGTGTTTTCCTCATCCCATTTTTGAAGAAATTCAAAAAAGTCAGTGCTCCCTCTCTTGAGCAGTTATTCGATCCTCTGGGTAGACAACTGGCGTATAGGAGGTCATGTTTCAGTTGCATCAAGGTTGGAGCAGGTTTACTGCATCAGCTGGACTTTTCTTTTTCCCCCACCTTAAAAGTCTCTCTTTCGTTTTGTCTCCTGTATATGAAGTCTTGCTTCTCGATCATCTTCTTAAACTTAGAAGAAAATGTCAGCTTCATTCCCTTGGAGGTCAAATGCTGGAATTTGCACTCTGGCAAGAATTCAACTGAATTCTGGTACATTTTCAAATAAAAGCTTTAGCTGTTCCTGGTGGTGGGATTTTATATGGGATAATACAATAGGACATGCTAACATGCAGTGAAGAAAAATGCAATAGAAGAAAAATGATATACTGATGAAAATATCAAAGGAGAAAACAGCTAGGATTTGGTGTGTGAGAAACCAGGATATAATTTTGGAAGTTTTATAGAGATGGAATTGCCTAATTTGCACACTTGTGTCCGGATTGTTATAAGTACTCTGATCTAGATAAAGGTGAAGTCATAACAGCCTCAATAGGGCTGCTCTCTCATTTGAGACAGCCTACTGGTGAGTTTAACCCGAGGATCTCCACTCCTCAGGCGAGGGGTGAGGTTGAGAAGGTGGGACCTCTTTTGTGGTGACACTCTGCATCCCAAATAAGCTAACCACCCCCCAACAGCATCTGTGTAAATTTAAATCTTGATTTTAGTTTTGTTATAATTCAATAAGTTGGCTTCATTGGTAAGAGCATTGAGTTAGGACGTCATGTAACAGCTGTAAAAGGCATTGTTAAGGCAACATTTGGAGTCCTGCATACAATTCTGGTCATCCTGCTTCTAGGAAGGGTGTTATCAACCTGGAAAGGATGCAAAAAAAGTTTACAAGCATCTTACCGAGACTGGAAGAAGTGAATTACAAGAGGAGGCTGGGAGTATCCTCCCTGAAGCTGAGGGGTGACCTAGAGATTTTACAAAATCATGAGGGGCATAGAAAAGGCCCTTTTCCTAGAGTAGGGGAGTCCAGAACTAGAGGGCATAGGTTTAAATTGAGAGGGCAATGATTTAGAAGGGACCTGAGGGACATCAGCTGGCAATTTTTAGAACGTGTTAAACTTAAAAATTCAAAAGATTTTACTGGCACTGCTGGCTGTACATTTGTCTGAATTATGTTATTAGAAAGGAAATGTGTTTCCCTTGTATAAAATCAAGGGACATAGTGCAAAACAGAAGCTTTTCTGCTTGGTGGAGGGATCAAAGACCAGGGGGCATAGATTTCAGGTAAGTGTCAGAAGATTGAGGCGCTGAGGGGAAAATCGTTTTTCAAACAGACTGTTGGGAAACTGGAACTCACTTCTTGTGTGGGTGGTCGAGGCAGACACCCTCATAACATTGAAGTGTTTACGTGTACGTGCAATGCTAAAGCATACAAGGCTTTGGGCCAAGCACTTCTAGATTTGTTTTTGACAGGCATGGTTGCCTGGGCCCATGGTTTTCCTCCAAATTGTAATCAGCTAGTATAATAAAAACTTCAAAGATAAAATAAATTTCTGTTATTAGGTATTTTCCACTGAAATTAAGCAAATTGCTTCCCCCTCTTTAAAAGCAATGCTTCCATTCATTGCAAACTCAAATGCTGGAAAATGTATGCAGTATTTGACACCTTTTCAGTGTATTTTGTAACAAAATACATGTGACAATAAATAAGTCAGTCATCTATCAATCAGTTGTCAAAATTGAAGTGTTTAGAAGTGAAACATTTAGAGCAAACTCCTTGATGAATAATTCCTGTGATTTCAAAACTTGTAGTTGGAAATCTTTGGGGCATGTTTCCACCTCATTTTCTCAGATACATGTTTAAGTGGTATACATTTTATATATGGTAGATATACTTACAATCGTGCTTCCTAATTTTTTTTTCCCTCACTGTGACTGCATTTTAAGGCTGAAAAGTGATGTTATCCCCATCAGGGAGATGCTGAGAGTGGTGATGGGGAGTAGGGTCTGAGGGTGAGAGAGCACAGGTCTGTTAGAGAAACCATAACCCAATTGGAGCTTCACTGCACCAGTGCCACCTCGGAATGGACAACCACAAAATTATAGGTCCTGCTACTACCCCCCCCTTTTTTTTTTTTTTTTTTTTTTGTTTTGGGAAATTTTCCAGCTTGTTGATCAGGGGTTTGGCCTCTGTATAGGGTAGCAAGACCTGAGCAATCCATATAACCTGCCATTTCTTTTCTTTTTCTAGGGCTTGGCCTTTACATTGGAAGAGAGACAACAACTGGGTATCCATGGTCTTCTGCCCCCTTGTGTTCTTGACCAGAATGTACAGGTTCTTCAGGTGCTGAAGAACTATGAAATGAGAAAAGATGACCTTGACCGGTAAGAACGGCATGACAAATTTTAGTAAGACTGATTTGCTTTGCTAAATCTAATTCTGTTTTATTCTTCATGGGATGTGAGTGTTACCCATCCCTCACATTTGCCTTTTGAACTGCATGACTTGAGACCATTTTAGTGTATGGTTAAGACTCCATCACATTGCTGTCGGTCTGGGGTCATATATAAGCCAAATCAGGTAAAGATTTTCTTTCTGTAAAGGACATTCGTAAACCAGATGTGTGTTTGACAACTGACCATGGCTACACGATCACCATTAGAGTAACTTTTTTTTTTTGAACTTCAGTGCTGATCTCTATACTCGACTCGAGCGTCCTCTCCTCTTTCGTCGATTTAAATATGTCAGAACCGCATATTCCTCGGTCTTATGTCTGTCTGTCCATCCTTGAAGTGCATCTATACTGTTTCCATCAACTTACTCCCTGTAGTGGAATTTCCCCATTGGATTTCTTGAATTTGTACTGACTGCTTTTAGCTATGATCCTCCCCACAAGAGGAAATGTTTTCTCTTATCTGTCAAAATCTTTCACAAATTTGAAGACATTGAATTGGTTAAGAGACCCAAGACCCTGCCTTTCTTGATATAGGTCTATACATTTCAAATAAAAAAAATCCTTGAATATCATCTTCATCCCCTTGAATGCATTTTTATAATATGGCAACTAGTTGGCAGGCAGTACTCTTTTAACTGTGGCCTAAACAAGGTTCAGTGCAGCTTTATTTTAACTTTTCTCCCTAGGAAAAAATCTAATGCTAGGTTGCTTTGTTTTTCCGTGGCCATGTTAAACAGCAGCACAACTTTGAAGCATATATACTCTGAGATCCCTTGTTCCTCTACCCCACCTGGACTTGCACTGTCCAGATAATGAATGACTTCCTTATCCTGTCAAATTATACTAGCACGTATTTATCATTTGCCTTGTATTTCCGTTCTGTAAGCTTATTCATGTCTTTCGATAGTTTGTCTTCCTTGGTATTGACTATCTTCCCCCAGTTCAATGTAATTCTCAAATGTAGAATTTGTTTTTGATTCCAAAGTTTAAAACACAATGAGTTGTGAACAACAGTAGTCCCAGCACTGATCTTTAGTCCCATTCTTTGCTTCCTACTTAGAAGTCAACTAACAATCCATTCTGCAACTTGTTTCTTTGACTCCACGTTTTTGGACATTGTTCATCAGTCTGCCCTGAGACACCGTTATTGTCAGATTTTTGAAAGCTCAGTTGAATGACATCTGCGTTACTGTAATCAAGTCTCTGTTACCACCATACAAAGAGCCAATAGAATTGGTCAAACAACGCTTTCCCTTTTGAGTTCCAATCTAAGTATTCATAATTACATTTTACGTTTCTAAATGGGGTCTTTTATATTCTGTTTTTGTGGGCATTTCATTGATTCCTATCACTGCTGCTTCTAACGAGAACCTAGTATAAATATTAATTTCAAGTGTCATAATTATTTATTCAATGCCTTTTTAATGCAGTAAAATGTCCAAAGACCCTTTTGCAGGAGTGTTATTTATCTGCTTTGATTATTCCTGAGCATATTCTGTCCCTCTTCCTGAATATAGGTATTGTATTAGCTAATCCCAGTTCTTGGGAGCTACATAGTTTCTAATGAATTATTAAGCATGTGTAGAAATAATTTTGCTATCTGTTCCCTGGATTCTGAATTCATAATATCTGTAAGTTACTTTCCTGAATCAATTTGGGAGATGCTAATGTTTTAAAAGGAATTCTGTAAAGTCAGGTTCATCATTTTCCTAGTAGGTTTGAAGCTCACTGTCCATTCCTTGCACCTATAACTACCATAAAGAAATGGCAGTCTTCTCTCTGACTTCTCCATTCTTTATGTTCCTTGCTATGAAGTAACAGTTTTGGAGGACAGGTGAAAGTCAGCCACTGAAACTAGAAGACAAAGCTTTTATGATAATTGAACTGAGATTTGAATTCAAGCCCAAATAGTCCACTATGAAAAGTAACTGTTTAAAGATCTTGGATGTTTCTTTGAGACTTAAAGTTTAAAAGTGAAGTGTTTATCTGTTGATTTTCTTGACTTTTTAATGTTATAATGGCACTTTGGAAGTACTCTAAACAGAATTTAATCCACTGCTACAGAAAATGTTAGATATTGGTACAGCTTACCATGAACTTGGACAAAAAAGGTTGATATTAGCAGAATTTTGAAGGAGGAAAGAGAAACGTGGAGATTTAGGCAGGGAGTTCCAGATCTCAGGTCCTTAGAAGTTGAAGGTATGGTTGTTGGTGAAGAAATTTTACAAATGGGATTACACTGGAAGCAAATTTGATTAACATGGGGATATTTTGGATGGTTGTGGAGCTGGAGGAGATAATGGAACTGGAGAGTGGAAGGCTGTGGCAGGATTTGGAAGTAAAAGTTTGAGAATTTTTAAAATTTGAGTTGCTTAGCCCAGTGCCAATGAAGGGATCTCTGAACACAAGCGTGATTAATGAGTGGCATTTTATGCAATATAGGATGTAGGTGCCTGTGTTTTGGATGAGTTTAAGATTAGAGAGGATGGACGACAGGAGAGGCTGGTCTAGAGATAACAAGGCTGAAGTGTAGACTTTTTAAGTATTAAGGTTATGCTGGAACTATATAAAACTTTGCCTGGACTGGAGAGTTATCCTTATGAACTGAAATTGGATAGACTAGGATTGTTTCCCTTGAAGCAGAGGAAACTGAGGGGGCACACGAATGAGTTGTGTAAAATCGAATGGGGTAGACGGATAGAAAAATTTTCACTTGATGGAGGGATCAATGACAAGGACACACAAATTTGAGGCAAGGGCCAGAGATTGAGGGAATCTAAGAGGGGAGAAGTTTTTTTTTCATCTTGAGGGTAGTGGGAATTTGGAACTCACAACCTGCAAGGGTGTTGGAGATAGAGACCCTCCCTCCATGTTTCAGCATTTAGATGTGTACTTATGTCAAGGCTTACAATGCCATAAGCCAAGCACTGGAAAATGGGATTAGAATAATTAGGTGGTTATTTTTGACTGGTATTTACTCAATGGACCTAAGGGCCTCTTTAAGGGTTGTAGATGTCTGATTCTAAGGGCATGGTTTCAGTCTGGAAAATGCTATGGTAGTGGAACTAGAAAGTCTGTTAGTCGTTGCATGCAAGTATAGGTTGATAAAAGGAATAGTATATTTTAGAGGTGTGTTTAATTTACTGACAAAAATAAATAGAATGTAAAGAATACTCAACTTCTCAACACCTGTGTGCCATTGCCTGCATGACATTCCATTAGACGTAAGATATTTGCCAGTTTCTAATCTAATCTTAGTGAAACCTTCTGCCAATATAAGTTGTGAAATCCAAGAATGAAGGAAAGTATTAGGTAAAGATGAAATCGAATACTTGGAAGTTTGTGTCCCTCCCCTTTATACAGTACTTTTTTGACGTGCCATTATGTCCCAAGAAAATCAAACTGACTCACTTTTGGGTATGAATCCTCAATGGAATTTTGGGGCATGTAATAATTCCCAAATAAAGGGCCAAGTTTCAGATTTCTAATTCTAGCACCATCTTTTCAGCACAATAGAATGTGCACAGAATCATTTGAGCTACAAAACTTATTGTTTGATAAATTTTTTTTTAGGAAGAAGTAATCCTGTACTAAATGGATACTTTCTATATTCTGCCTTTGCCTGTTCTCTCCTGGATATTTATTTGTGGCCATATGCTCAAAGCTGCCTTCTGTCTCTTGTTGATTGGTTTCTGTTGCCAACTTCAGATGGGCACTGAAGTAACATTGCAACAATTTCATTGTCAGTCAAGTTTAACAAGGTGGTCAGTGAACCTGGCTTCTTTCAATTTGTCAGTATTGCTTTATTCGTCCATTTGGCCAGTGGCAGACTTCAGAGCTGGCCTGAGATATTACACTGCATCCACGCAAACAAAGTATAGCGGGGGATGGATCTCAATAACAATCAAGTGTGGAATGCCTGTTCAATGTCTCATTGCTAGATTTGAAAAGAATTGTGTTCACTGTGAATGAAGGATTGAACAAAGAACTTCACTTGTCTGTGTACTACCTTTATGGCTTGAAAGTGAAAAAAGTACACCAAGTTCATGGAAATATTTTGAGGAAACCCACTTTATGTAAGAAAATCTATTGCGAATTATTTAATCAATTTGAAATTAAGACTGAAGTATCATGTGAAATCTATAATCTTATAAACTCCCGTATTGATTATGCAGTAAGTTGCTCGTGTAGCTACAGCTTGACAACAATCTTTGTACCACCAAACAACTATTTAACAGCTTGAGCATTACTGAAAGGCAAGAAATGGAAGCCTTTTTGCTTGTACTCATCAGGTCATGAAACAGACTTGGAGAAAGAGATAAAATTTATACAGCATGAGGGTGAGTGCTGATTGGTTGCAGCATTGTTTCATGGATATGCAGTAGGAACTGTTAACTGTCAATTTTAGTTTCCAGACCAACCAAGTACACCCGGCTGCAATGTTGCCAGGTGACTGGATCAAAGATTAGCTGTCACTGTGACCCTCTTCATTTTAATGAAGAGGGGTGCATAATAAGTGTACAAGCTAATTCTAGCTACACAAAGCAGTATTGTGTATTAATATATAGAACTTCCAGCACATGCAAGTGCATCACACTGTCAGCCTGTGGTGATCTTAAATTGATTTTTGGTGTAACTCTTAGCATGGAGCAAATCATTTAATAAATGGTTTTCAATAACTGAATCGCATTTAATGGTGGATGTAATGTACTGTTCAGAGGCTTCAAACAATGTCCTTGTTGAGCATGATCAGCATGCTGCCTGATGGCAATGGTCAATAGGATGAGTTGCTTGAGATTCGCCAGTTGTTAGGACATATTGTCTACGTACCTGACATCACAACAGCATTGAAAGTCATAACGTTACTACTTTATGTGGAAGACAGTGTTTTTTTGGCTTGCTGGAAGCAAAATCCTGACTTGTATTCTTGATGTAGAATTGAGCAATTTAAATGAATTGTATTGATTTATTGGAGGGTTCTTCCTGCACCTTTTACCTTTTTTGTGATTTTATTTGTCAAGGGTTTGCATCACTGCCATGGAGTGAATATTTTGTAATAGGTGAATTTAACTGATGTAGTTGTGAACTTTGTATTTATCATAAGCCCGAAAGAAGATGTTGTAAACTCACTTTTATGGTTACTATGCAATAGTTTGCCTGTAAATATGGTCAGTATTCAAACTCTGTTTCTCTTTAAAATTTTCCATTTTCATGGTTTTTAACAGTTTTTATAATTTTAATGAAAGCTCATACTGTTAACACAAAATATTAGCCTTTTGCTTTTTATAATTGGTCTAATGGAAGCTTTGCCTGCTTTCTTTGACAAATATTTTCTTTGCACTTTTATCAATTTTAAGGTACATATTTCTAAGTGCCCTTCAAGACCGAAATGAAAAGCTCTTCTACAGAGTACTGACTTCAGACGTTGAGAGGTTCATGCCCATTGTTTATACACCCACAGTCGGCCTGGCTTGTCAGAATTATGGACTTGCATTTCGCAGACCAAGGTAAGTGATGCAATGCAACGCACATCTATTGTGAAGACAATTTTAAACAGATCCATGTTTTGCCGTGACATTGACAGTTACAGCTGCCACCAATGTATCTGTTGGCTGTCAAGTTTCCTAACGGGTCAGTAACTATTCAAGTACACAAGCAGTTGTGCTCTGTGCTAGCAGTACCTTTTAATCTTGCTGTTATAGCTCAAAACATACTTGACTGTTTTCATACTGCTGGAAAGAAACATGACTCGAATGTAGAACAAGTACATTTTCTAAATCAGTTACTCGGATGTATGGAGACAGCCCTATGTGTAGTGTTGTTACTCGTGACAGAATCATTCGGTGCTACCACTCCAGAGGCATTAACCTAAGACACAGTTTTTCCTTCACTTCTGTTGAGTCATTCCACATTTCTGTTGGTGATGCTAGACAAAACTATTGTAAACGGTGAACACTGCAAATGGGTGAGACAGATATCATTTACAGGGGCGAGTTTTGATTGCCCATTGTGTTCCCCCTTTGGTTGGGGGTGGGGGTCAAGAGGTGACTGTGAGGCATCGGTTGTGGATTAGAAGACGAGTGAATCTTCAGTCAGTTGTCACGTGCTGATGCTAGGCTGGAATCTGGAATCCTGGTGGACAAGTACAACTCAAATTTAGTTGAATTTTTTCAACATATTTACAATTTATTCATCCATAGGCTGTGTTGCTAAATGCCAGCATTTATTACCCGTCCTAATTATCCTCAAGTAGGAGATGGTGAGCTATACCTTATGAACTATTGCAGTCTGTGAGATGAAGGTCCCTCCCACTGAGCTGTTAGGAAGATGTTCCCAGTAGCCTGAAACAGGATGTTGCTGACTGTTGGTCTATTTTCAAATCAGGATTGGGTGTTACTTGGAGGACAAGTTGAAGGTCATGTTTTTATTGCCTTTGTCTCTCTAATGTCAGAGATTGTGTTTCAGAAGAGCTATTCTATGTGCTATAAAAATGAACTTCCATTGGCAAAGGCCCTTTTTTATTGCCTGACTCCCACTCAAACACTGAAGCTAGATCTGTGGAAAGATACTTCACAGTTATAAAAGAGGAGAAAATTTGTATTTGTTTTTGGGGGTTTGACCCTCTTCCCCAAGTTTTGTCAAAGCAGGACGTTTCTCCTTGAGAATCTGGAAATGAATCTGTTGCATTGTCTGACTTTTTTTGCTAAAAGTAGCAACTGTGTCTGTTCATCGAAAAGCAGAATTCAAACCTGTGCAGCATTGTAGATGATCTGTGATTGTTTCAACTGTACTTGATATGGGCAATATGATGACACTTACTTCCATTCTCCCTCTAAGTTGAATACTGACTTGTCAAGCTCCATTCTGAAGGGATTCTATGACTGGGACAGAGATTGGACAGATGAGTCACAGCCAGGTCAGAGTATCAGGCAGATTTCTCCTTTGTAAAGAAAAGGGGTTGGTGTGGACTTGATGGGCTACATGGCCTGCCCCCATACTGTGCAGATTCTGTGTCAAGTTTCCGCCAAGTTGAAATCTAGTACAAAACCTCTGGAAATAGAAATTGCAAACATCCGCATTCAGATTAGAAAGCGTGAGAAGAGGTTGTACTGGTGCATGATCTGATTGGCTCAAATGGCCTGTTTTTTGTGTCACTTAACTCCAGGTAGAATGGTCCATCAAAAGAAAATGAAGTCACTTCTAACCTTGGGGATTCTGTTTGATGGTTGAGAATGCAAAAGTTTCTTCGCTTAAATATTTTGTTTATCACTAACTGAGCTCCACGTGATCTTTAAAAGAGCAATACACAAGGAAAGTAATACTGTACTATCAATTTTTTTTAAACAACAAATAATACAATGTTGATTCAAATATTAAATAATAGTGTTAGAGTAGTGTGCTACTATTCCTGGAGTTAACTTCTACAAAAGTATGCAAAATGTCCCAATTTACCTGATACTTAGACTCTAACATGAAAAAATAGACCAGCTTTCTGTACTGAACAAGAATTACTATTTATAACAAATAGATCCTAGTTAAGGTGAACAGCTCTGAATTGCAGATGTGAACTGCACCTTTAAACTTTAACACCTTTTATAAAAGATCCCCTTCACAAATGTAGAAAGAGACCATAAAACTAAAGACATGAATGGTATGGGCAAAGGGCAAGACTGGGAAAGAAGCTTTAATGGTCCTTGTCCACTCTTTTTGCTGAGAATTTGTTTGGCTTGATGAACTTGCTGCTCCTCCAACCTTTCTTCTCTGGGTGCATTCACTGGCTTGCAGGAGGCATGGAGCGACTGGTTCACACTTGTGAAGTCTCAGATATTGGTTAAAAGTCATAGCTTACAGTGACTGTTGAGGAAAACTGGTTTTCTTTGGACTTAATTTTTTTAAACCATAGAGCGGAAAAACTGCTCCTCCTATTCTGGCCAAACATTCTCACCAACAAATTGTTCAGCTAGCTGGGAGTTAATCATAGTTTTTGATAGGCAGAAGCCCTTTGTCATTGGCCTGGAAATGGTGATCAGTTGTCAACCAGCTACTTGTTTCTGGAAGCAACTCATTTTGTGCATACTCCCTGGTGCCAGTCTGTAACTAAACCTCCCCCATTACTTGAACAAGCACAGGCAGCAGGATAAACGCTTAAAATGATTGGCAGTAAAGGTAAAGTTGCCATAATCTTACTAGACCATGAGGCTGATCTCAGGCCTGGATCCTCCTTCAGTCCTGATGAAGGGTCCAGGCCCAAAACATCGACTTTCCTGCTCCTTTGCGTTCCTCCAGCTCCACAGTGTATTAACTCTGACTCCAGCATCTGCAGTTCTTGCTATTTCCATGAGGCTGATCTCTCCTTAGAGGCAGAGGCTGAGAAAGAGTCCTTCATGATGACTTCAACCAGTGCAGGAGGTGAACCCACATCGCTGGCATGACTCTGCGTTGCAAAACGGCCGTCCAGTCAACTGAGCTAACCAATCCCTTTAGTGGTGGTAACCTGCTTTTAAAATCCCTTCCACTGTTCTTGGTTTTTAAAACTGTCCTTTTTTTTTTCCCTCATTTCAGTCCACAATCGAGAATACAAAAAAAGCTGGGTAACAGGGTTATATCGCCTCAATGGGGATTTACAACTTGCTACTCGTTCGGTGATGAGCTAGGTAGAGGAAAGCTGCTTCCTGTCCACCAGGACCTCCCACCTCCCTATCTGAAAAGTTGGGTACTAGCTTCCATTTCTGAGACATTTGTTGCCTAAGAGATCAGAGGGTGAGGTAGCTCCTAGCTTGCAGTGTTTTGAAGTGGTACGCAGCTAGGCTTTAAATATGGCAGCAGCTTGTGCGTAGGAATGTTCTCAGTGGCAGGAATATCACCTCTTCGATTTATGAGAAGGATGACCATAAGATTTGTGGTGAGAAGTGGAAGATAGTGTGAGAAAAGTCACTCAGCCAGACTGAACACCTCACATGAAATTCCCTGAACCAAAACATGAGGAAATCTAGCCCACAGTTCCAGAATGTTCCCTACAAGGGAACATTAATCCTATTAGCATCCACCTTCCACTGATTAGTTAACAAATAAAAGTTTGTGACAAATGGAAAAGTAGCTGGAAGATGCAACGAATAAGATTTTAAAAGTTCTATTCCAGTTTAAGTTGAATTGCTGTTGAACTTGGGAACTGTTGTTCACACTAAAATCCCACAAATACCATTGTGATTTAGAGATAAACGTTGGCCAGTATGCAAGTGAAATTCTCAGTCTTCCTTAAAGTAGTGATGATGGTATCTGTTGAATGGGACAGATGGGAGTCAACCTAAAACAGTGAATAAATTGCTATTTTGTACACTTTCCTATTCTGTTTTGAATGCAAGAAATTTGTGAATTATTCCAGGTTAATTCATCTTTGTTTCTGTTGGTATACAGTAGCAATTTGAGTGAGAACCTTTCCTGTGAGCACTACTTAGTTTTCACTGATTTTGAGGCCAAATTGGACTCCTCAACCAATAATTAGCTCTGCAATTTGTAAATGGTACAGTGATTGATTGATTTGTTGCAGATGTTTTCACCCCTAATTGAGCTGAACTGGCTGTTGATCACTGTAATATAAAGAAGCACCACTGGTAGTTGAAGCTAAGTGGATGTTCCAGAGAAGATGTAAATCCGGAAAGGAAATTTCCCAAACTTCAAATTTTTGACCTTGTGTTGAGAGCCCAGTACGGTGTCTATATCATGAAATTCTGGAGAGTTGCCATTGCCATCATTTGATCTCCATTTTCAGTTGCCAAATAAAAATTGTATTCAAATAGATTAGAGCATTTTGGAAGAATGTATGTTTTAAACTCCTCAAATATAGTTCAGTAAATATGACTACTTTTCAAACAGGATACACAGACAATTGTGAAGTGTAACTTAGCACTTGATTTCCTATTTTCTCTTTGAAATATTATTGATTTTACCAGGCAAATTATGAAACTTTTCCATGTAACTTATTAATTTTTAATCACTTATTTTGTAAGGTATAACATTTCACAATTTATGTTCAGGACATTCATACATACCATAGGCAGGGTTTTGACTTTTGGGTCAGACTCCAACCTCCGTTAGGTCACGAGCTCACAATCTCTTGAACCTGACTGACTTTCCCTAAATAGATCAACTTTAACGTGTGGATGGTGGCCTTGCCGTCCAAGGACAAAGAGCAGTAGGACCTATGGAGGTCCTACAGTTCGAAAAGCATTGACTTTCTATGCCTTCTGCTGGGAAGGGCTGAGTGTGGCAGGATTGTCCAGGTTGCTCAGATTTGGCATGCCTTTTGAAAACTTGAACCGTACAGGTTTTTGGTGAAGGCCTGTCCTATTTGTTATAAGCTAAACAAGTGTTAAACTACAGAACAGAACCTCTTGTGCGCTCTCCATCACATCCCCTCTTGCATGCTATTGGAACCATCTGAGTTACAGGGCTTGGAGTCTTAGATTCATGCAGCATGGGAACGGACCCTTCGGTCTAACTTGTGCAC